TACCAGGAGGGAGGGAGGAATGGTAAGTTATTGCTTAATGGGTACTGAGTTTCTGTCTGGGGTAATGAAAATTTTGTAATATAAATACTGTTTTTGTAAATAAATACTGGTGTGATATCTGTACAACATGGTGAATATAATTAACGCCAATGAATTGTACATTTAAAAATGGTCAAAATGACAAATTTTATGTTATATATGTTTTACCACAATAAAAAAAGAAATTTGGGAAAACACACACATACCACCGTAGGGTAGCTGTCCCTGCAGCTGCCATCTCCTGTGTCCACCTGGCCTCGAGCCTACCCTTCAGGACTATGATGGCACTTTTGGCTGCTCTGGCCTCCTTCCCCAGGCCCTACCAGGGTTTGGCACACTGTGGAAGCCCCAGCTCACCCTGAGAATGACAGTAGGAGGAGGTCCTCGATGGTCACCGGGTTGGCCCTATGCCCAGTGACAGAGCCCCTTTCTCCTCTTTTGGAGCCTGCCTTACTGTTCTGGGGCTGCCTGCCTGTGGAGCATTCTTGCCAGGCCTGCCCACTTGCTCAGCATCTAGGGGCAGCTGGGTGGATTGTCTTCTGTGTGCTCGGTGCAGAGCCTGCACAGAGCCAGGGCCCGTGGAACTCTGAACTCAAGTTTCCATGGGGCTTTCCCACCTACTTGGGGCTTTTCTTCCACATCTGATGCCACTAAGTGTTTTGTTTGAGGAGCTGTGTGATGGGTCCGAGCAGGCGCCTGACTGTGGGTTCAAATTGTGGCCCTTGCTCCTACCCAGATGTGACCTTGGGCATGTAACATCTCCAGGCCTGGATTTCCTCTATGGGAAGTGGGGATGTAGCAGGGCCTTTTTTGTGGGCTGCCTGGGTGAAGCACAGAGACTGGCATACAGGATGCACTCCGTATTAAAGAAGGAAAAAGAGAACACGACGATATACGTTTCTTTTTTTTAGATTCTGAGTTTCTCACGGAGGGAAATCCTCCAGTGTTCATGTTAGAAAATGCCCCAGACGCTGTGGTTTATTATGGTACTTACTTTAATATGATTTTGAGCTATGATTTACTAAAAGGCAGTATTGATATCTATTACTGACAATCACCTCTGGGTGCTGGGCTTAAAGAGGGCCTCTCTGGGGCCCTGGGCCAGGAGGCAGGAGATCTTGTTCTTGTCCCTTCCTTGCTGCATGTTCCTAGGCCAGCCCCTGTCCCTTTCTGGGCCTTAGGCACCCCATTTCTAGGTGGACTCTGATTCCTTGGTTATTTTCTAGCCCTATGCATACAGGATGTTTTTCTAAGGAAAAAGAAGGAAATTCAGCTTAAAATGAAAATGTGCTCTGTGGATTCTGTTGAAAAGAAAGGCAGAAGTGGAACAGATTCAGGGGTCCCAATCCCTGTCCCCAAATCCCTGCCAGGCTGTCCAGGGTAGAGGGAGCAGACAGGGCCTCAGAGGCAGCCAGGGGGCCTGGGAGGACTTACATAAAGCTGGCCAAGGAGAAGGGGCTTCCTGGGGAGAAGGTGAGCCCCCAGCCCTAGAGGTGTAGGAGCAGAGGCCAGGCAGCTGTGTTTCCGTTCAGTTCAGTATCCCACTGAGATCTACCCTGAGTTGGGTCCTGAATCTGACATAACCCCTGCCCTGAAGGAGCATCAGGCCAGTGGAGAGACAGGCCAGAAGACAAATCATGTTGGACCGTGGTGATCTAGAGCAGTCGTCAAATTATGGCCCAGGGACCAAATCTGACCTGTTGCCTGTTTTATAAATAAAGTTTTATTTGAACACAGCCCTGCTGATTCACTTACCCATTATCTGTGGCTGCTTTCACTCTACAATGACAGTTGAATAGTTGTGACAGACCGTATGGTCTGCAAAGCCTAAAATATTTGCTATCTGGCCCTTTACAGAGAAAGCTTGCATATCCCTGACCTGGAGGGAAGTTCAGGGGATTGTAGGAGCTCAGGAGAGGCCTCTGACCCAGACTGGAGGTGGTCAGGGAAGCTTCTCAGAGGAGGTGTTATCTAAGCCTAGTATGTAAAGGAAATAAGGTGGAGTTGTGGGAAAGGGCTTTCAAACAAAGGACAGCTTGAGAAAGGAGTGTTGGTGTAAATAGCATTGGGGTACAGGGACCCACCAGCAGCTGAGTTGGGCCAGATTGAGAAGTGTAGAGAGACAGGCTGGGCCCAAGGGACCTGTCAGAGCCTGGGCAGAGGCAGGGCCCCGGGGGACCCTGAGAGCATATCCAGCATCAAGGTCATTCAAGAGGAGGTCCAGGCTCCTTAAGGCTTGGGGTGAGTTACTTCTCTGTGCTAGGTATCCTCCTTTGAGCTGAAAAAAGACTCCCCCCACCCATCCCTAGGCCTCCTGATCTGGAACCACCGGAAAGATTATCTTGCCAAATCACCATCCATTTTCCCAACAAAGAAACTGAGGGTCAGAGAGGGCCAGTGATATGCTTGAGGGCACACAACAAAACACAGCACAGCAAGGACTTGAATCTAGGCCTCCTGACTCCCTGTCCAGTGCTCTCTTTCTCTCCCACTGTGCTGTTCTATAGAAGGTCCTGGACCCTCAGCCCAAGCTTGGGCAGGTGTGTAAATTGAATACAGATTTGATGCAGCTGAGCCCCTAACAATTAGAAGCCCAAGGCTATTGTGGAGGATGCAGGGAAGGCTGGGGCTTTATGGCCTCCAGGTTCCTGTGGACAGGAGGTAGCCAGGCAGCTCCAGCTCACCGACTGAAGGCCTGTCAGGGTGACCACCCTCACTCCTGCCCTGGATGGCTAGGTGTGGTCAGCATGGTGCTGATGCTCAGGAAGGAGCTGGGCACTAGGACAGCCAAAAAGAAAAAACCCATTGCCGTCGAGTTGATTCTGACTCATGATGACTCCGTGTGTTACAGGGTAGAACTGTTCCATGGGGCTTTCTTCTTTATAAATATATATATTTTATTTTTGTTGTTGTTGAGAATATACACAGCAGAACATACACCAGTTCAATAATTTCTACATACAATTCAGTGACATTCTTCAAGCTGTGCAACCATTTTCACCCTCCTTTTCCAAGTTGTTCCTCCTCCATTAACATAAATTCACTGCTCCCTAAGTTTCCCTAGTTAATCTTTTGAGTTGCTGTTGTCAATTTGATCCCATATAAAACCAAACCAAACTGGTTGCCGTAAAGTCAATTCCAACTCATAATGACCCTATAGGAGAGAGTAGAAATGCCCCATAGGGTTTCCAAGGCTGTAATCTTTACAAAAGCGGACTGCCACATCTTTCTCCCACAGAGCAGCTGGTAGGTTCGAACCACTGACCTTCTGGTTAGCAGCCGATCACTTAACCACTGTGCCACCAGGGCTGGATTCCATACAGATAGATCTTAGAAGAGCACAATGCTGAAGGCAGAAAATCTTTATACTATTTAAGCTAAACTACTGTTTGGTTTTGAGAAGACTTCAGGGGATATTTTTGGTTTAAGGTTTAAAGATTATCTCAGGGCAATAGTTGCAGGGGTTCATCCAGCCTCCATGGCTCCCAAAAAACTTGGATTCCAAAAAATTTGAAATTCTGTTCTACATTTCTCCCCTTTTGATCAGGATTCTTCTATGATCATAGGATTTTCTTGACTGTAATTTTAATGGAAGCAGATCACCAGGCCTTTCTTCCAAGGTACTGCTGGGTGAGTTTGAACTGCCAACCTTTAGGTTAGTAGTCAGGCATAAACCGTTTGAGCCACCCAGGGACCCTAACAGGACTCGTTGCCATTGAATCAATTCTGACTTATAGTAACCCTATAGGAGAGAGCAGAACTACCCCTTAGTGTTTCAAGGCTATAATCTTTACGAAAGTAGACTGCCATATCTTTCTCCCGCAGAGCAGCTTGTGGGTTCAAACCGCCAACCTTTCGGTTAGCAGCAGAGCACTTAACCACTGTGCCACCAGGGCTCCTCTCCCAGGACAGCACAGAGCAATAATAATGGCCCCTTAGGATATGGTCAGCCCTCTCTTGTCCCCTCCCTGACATCAAGCTCCTCGCAGGACAAGGCACAAAGAGCAGGAAAGGGCCCTGGGCTGGGGTCAGTCCCTGTGTTCTTGTCCCAGCTCTGCTACCAGCTGTGAAGAGCTTGGCTGCCATGTCCTCTGAGGGCACGAACACCCCATTTCCTTCACTTCTAATTAAGACTCAATCACAAAAACAGCAATAGTTCCGCTGACTGACCACCTGCTCTGTGTGACAGGGTCTCTGCTGGGTGTTCCCGTGTTATAACTTCCATTACTCCTCCTCAGAGCCCTTTGCTTTCTTCTCCCCATTATATAGATAAGAAAATGGAGGCTCATAGGTTAACATCCCAAGACCACAAAGCCAGAAAGAGGCAGAGCCAGATTCAAATCCCAGTCTGGAGTTCCCACCTCCAGCCTGTCAGTACCTCCAGGGCAGGGACTAATTAGGGTTTCTGTGATAACTCCAGGGCCTTGCCTGGGAAATGCTCTTTGTACCACTCTGAGCACATAAAACACCTCATTAATCTTGCTGCAAAGTAATCATTTGCTTTCAGGATTCATTCCCGAACTCCCTGGTGCATGCTGAAGGGCCCCAACGTCCAGTCTGGTTGGGGAAGTGGGACAGGCAGGCAGAGAGGCTGAGAACTGTCTGAAGGCGCTAAAGCAGCGTGTTGTAGGGCATCAGAGAAGGCTTCTTGGAGGTGGTGACAGTGGAACTGGACTTGGAGGGAAGAGTCAGGGTGTGACAAGGGAAAGGACATTCCCTCGGCGTGATGGATCTTATCACTCTTCCTGGACTTGAGCCCCCGGAGAACAGGGCCAGGTGTCTCCTGTCTCCACCTGGTGCTCACTAAACACCCATGGAGTGAATAAGCGTCTTTCTCCTGTCTGCTCTCCTTGGTGGGCTGGACACTCTGTGACCTAGTGATCAAGCACACCCAACTGACTGTGTGTCCAAGAAAAGCCTGTGCCCACCAGGCCCCTCACGCTCTTCTCCTTACCCCGCAGCCAAGAAGACCTGTGCAGACAGCGACTTCACCTGTGACAATGGCCACTGCATCCCTGAGCGGTGGAAGTGTGATGGCGACAAGGATTGCCCCGACGGCTCTGATGAGACCAAGGCTGCCTGCAGTGAGTCCTGCCTCTCAGGCCAGGGAGGGCGGCCCTGGCTCTGGGCCTCAGTTTCCTCATCAGGTCTTCCTTGTTAGGCGGTTGTGGGGCTCACGTGAGGTGGTCAGGGAGCACAGCCCCAGGCGCACTCTGGGTCATGCTCCTTGTAAACAGTCAGATGTGTCAGGCTGCTGTTTTTCCAGTTAGCTGTTCCTGGGCTTTTTTCACAGCCCTCTTGGGCCCTGTTCCCAGAGCACCGGGAGCCAGAAACAGCCCCACTGAACGTTCCTGCCCAGCAGTAACCACAGCAAGTCTTCCAGGCCAGCCCCCAAACTCCCCCACTGTTTTTCTTGAGGGCCTTAATCATAATTCTAACAGTACTAATGGCAGCTGATGCTTGCTGTGTGCCAGGACTTCACTGAGCTCTCTGTATGCATCAGCTCATTTTATCCCGACAGCAGCCTCATGAGGCAGGTACTGTCACTTTCTGCATTTTGCAGAGGACACTGAGGCTCAGGGTTGAGTGACTTGCCCACAGGCTCCCAGCCAGAACTTGGAGGGCCCAGCTCTTCCCTCTGCTCTGATGGGCTGAGCCCCGGAGCAGGCAGCCCAGGCTTCCGTGGCTGGCTGGGTGGAGGCAGAGGCCGCCCAGGGTGAGCACAGGGCCGGAGCAAGTCCCAGGCCCGCCCCCCCAACTCAGGGCTTTGTCTCTCCATGATTTGTGTTCCAAGGCCCTAATCCTCAAAGCAAACTTACACCCGGCAGGTCATTCCATGACATTTGTTAAATTAAAAAGAAGATGAGAAAGGGGTGGGGAGGACCGAGCAGTCCCCAAGGCAGAGCTTCAGCATCATGAGCTGGAGACAAAGGGCTGGGGGAAGGGGCACGTGGAGGATGGGGGTGCTGGCAGGGACCCCGTGAGCCCCTCTTTAGGGCTCACAGCCACCACCGAGGCAGAGGTGGGGACAATGGAGGCTAGAGTCCCATCTAGGGCTGCGGCTAGTGATAACTGGGTTTCCTTGTCTCCTAGCAACAGAGCCACCAGTCTCCGCGTGAGAGAGAGAAAGGGAGAGAAAAGGAGAGCAAGAGCAACCCCGCCCTGAGACAAAGGGCCCGCGTTCCCTTGTACAGCTGCTGTTGCCAGCGCCCCCCGCCCCCAGTCGTGCCCCAGGCCGAATCCTTTCCAACCCCCAAGTAGCCAAACTCAGTGCTGTCTTGGAGGGACCTGGGCAGGAGGGAAGCCCACCCTGGTCCTAGCTTCCCCAGGAACAAAGCCCTGCCATGCCCAATGCTGAATTCCATCCTCAAGGCAATGGGAGGGAGGTGGATCCCTGTTTAGAGAGAGGCAAACTGAGGCTGGGACAAGTTCAGCCACTTGCCCAAGGCTTCCCAGCTATCAAGAGAAGAGCCAGGGCTTGGCTCAGAACCAAAGAAGGAATGCGTGTTTGGGAGGAGGCTTTGGAAAGATGTGGCCTTGGGGTGGGAGGTGGTGGGGGGGTGGCTTTGCCACCATTGCAGGCAGCCTGCTCGGCAGTCCCACCCGAGCAGCTACCTGGGGCAGGAGGGAGGGGTAGAGGAGCCACATCATGGTTATTATTGGGGGGCTGTCTTGCTGCCTGAGGGCTATGCTCCCCCTTCTCCCCACACCTCTATGTCTTTGTGTTGCTGTTGTCCTTTTGCATCTCTCTCTGCCCCCCAACCTCTGCTGCCTTGAGCCACCTTCCTCTGCCTCTCTGCACCATCTCACCCCTCCCCTCTCAGCCCCTCTCCTCACCCTCCTTCTCATTGCCTCTCTCTCCTCCCCGCCTCGCCCCATGCTTCTCTCTGGGCGTGCAGGGGCCCTCCTCACCCCTCCTTCCTTCTAGCTATAAGGCATTGTTATTTGACTGCTGAGGAACTGGAGGCTCAGAGAAGTTGAGGGACTTGCCTCAAAGATGCACAGCTTATCATGGTGGGTCTGTCTTCCATGACAAAGATAGCCTCTAGCCGCTCTGAGGCTTGACAGGGTGTCCTTAGGGTGCAGCTGGGAGGACAGCACCCCAGGAGTTGGAAGGCCCAGTTCTCCTCAGGGCTTTCCCAGTAATTTGCTGTGAGGTCCTGCATCCTTCTTGCCCCATCTGGGACCAGCGTCTCTGACGTTCCAGAATCCCAAAGACTACACAATTCTGATTCCTGGGCTCGGAAATTCTGTGACTCTTAGGGTTCTGAGACCCTCTTTCTCCTTTGCTTGTGCTCAGCGAGGGCACAAGGCCCAGGATTCCACTTCCTGTGCAGTTACACTGGTTAGAGGGGGGCAAGGCCTGTGGGTGGGGCGGCTTCCTGGAGAAGGTCAGCCAGGGGGACCTCAAGGGTCAGGCAGAATTTGGGGCAGCAAGACCTGGTAGCCGGCTTGCTCACAGCTCCACAACTGAATGGGAACAAGGCAGCCGGCCTGCTGCCCATTTAATTGGCATTGCCATAGCAACCTCTATGCCTACCAGGTTTCTGAGTACTGTGCCAGTACCCCTCCACACCCTCCAAAAAAGATTGTAGGCAGTAAAGCCTAATGGGTCTGGTATCTGATGTAGTTGGTTCAGATCCTCTAACCTGTGAAACCTCAGGCAAGTAGCGCAGTCTCCCCGTGTCTCAGTTTATTCATCTGTTAAATGGAGTTATGGTGTCCGCCTTACAGGGGGCTGTAAGGATCAAATGCGGGCACAGTGTCCGTGTTGGAGTAAATGGCAGTGTTATTTTTATCATTATATTTTTATTCCAGTCCCTTCCCCGCCCACCCCCAACCAGTTTAAGATATTACAATACTGTAAGTCGGGGGTGGGGGTGGTTTGCATCCAGAGGGGAGGCGTTTGGGAGCAAGTGCCCATTCTGGGTTCTCTGTACTGTATTTTCTGCCCCTGGCTGGCTGAGGTTGCTCCCAGCCTTGTTTCACTCTGGTTCTGGGTTCTGTGTCTCTCAGATACAGTCAGGAGTCACAACAGGAAAGCCCAGAACATTTGCCTAATGAAAGTAGCAATTCAGCTCTAATTATAGCTCACTTGATTGGGGATGGCTTCTCACCCTCCTTCCAGCGCCTGTTGGGAGGGGTGCAGGGTGGATGGTTCAACGTGAGTGAGTTACTCTTCTGGGTGCTGCTTGTTGAAAATGGGCTTTTATTCCTGCATCTTAGAATCTTCCCACCTGGAAGGGGAGGCAACCTTATTGATGAGCCACACTCACCCTTTCCTGTGGTTGTTGGGTGCTGTGGATTCGATTTGCAACTCATAGTGACCCTGATGTGGCAGGGTGGAACTGCCCCATAGTGTTCTTCTCTAGGCTGTAATCTTTATGGGAGCAGATCACCAGGTCTTTTCTCCCATGGAGCCACAGGGTGGGTTCAAACCACCAACTTTTCAATTGGCAGCTGAGTGCTTAACCACTGCGCCACCAGAGCTCCTTCCCTTTCCTATTAACCCATTGCCATCAAGTCAATTCCGACTCATAGCAACCCTATAGGACAGAGTAGAACTGCCCCGTAGGGTTTCCAAGGCTGTAAATCTCCACAGAAGCAAACCGCCACATCTATCTCCTGAGGACATGCTGGTGAGTTTGAACCACTGACCTTTCGGTTAGCAGCCAAGCAGTTAATCACTGAGCCACCAGGGCTCGTCATTGCCTATTAGAGATCAGGAAATGGAAGCTCAGAGAGGGAAGGGGATTTGCTGAGATTGCCCAGCAGGTTAGGACTGACCCAGTGTGAAAGAGCTCCCGGGTGTAACTGTCCCCTTCTGCGAGGTGGGATGTCCCAGTGCTGTGCTTTCTGGGGTAGGAGCACCACTGCGTGCCACTGGTGGTTCCCACCATCTGAGTCGCTGGTCCCCTTGGGAGCTGACGATCCGCATTTGGAGGCTGTCTGCCCTGAGACTTGCGTGAGCTGACACGGTAGACGTGCTCGCTCCGTGAGCAGCCGCCAAGCACTTTCATTCTTTTGCTCAACAGACATTTTCCTTTTTATTGATTTGTGAGCTTATGAATTGGAGAACGTGCCAGTGGATTTGGCTTTCTGGGGCGGGATTCTCCAGGAATGTATGAATGCCTAGAGGCACACACAGATGGAGTTTCAGGCCCCCCTTGCCGACTTTGGTGGATTCCAATTGCCTGAGAGATAGTGAGGTTCTTCACTGCTGCCTTTCAAAACCTGGGGACACTTGGATAGCAGGCCAAAGGCACCCCTCGGGAGAGTCTGTTACGAAAAGAGTCTGCTCTGTGGGGCGGGGCTTCGTCGTGGTCCCTATGTAGACTGATAACCAGCGTCCCCAGGGATGTGGCCAGGCCCCTCCACCAGCCATCTGCATTTCGGGAAATAAAACAAGGGCAACTGTTTTCCGGAGCTCTGAGTGAGTTCCAGGCTCTGAATGTAGGGATTTCCAAATGTTTCCTTGTTAAACCACCCACCAACCCTGGGAGACTATTTAACCCCCTTTTCAGACAAGGGAAGCCAAACTGCAGGCAGGTTAAGAGACTTGCCTGGGACTTCAATGGTGGTAAATGACATTTGGACCCAGGTGTGTCCGACTCCAAAACCCATGCTTCCTCCTGCATTATGCTGCCTGGGGGCCTTTGGCTTCAATATGCTGAAAGTGGACAACAGACCACCATCTGGTGGGCCCTGAAAAGGCCCAGTGAGCCCGCCCCTCAGCAGCCCCTCTCCAGGCCAGAGATGCCATCGAGGCCGACAGGTGGTTAAGAACAGCAGTGTGTGGCTAGAGAGACCTGGGATGAAGTGTAGGTCTCCCCACATGCCTTTGGATAAGTGACTTTCGTCTCTGGGCTTCAGTCCCTCCCCCACCCCCGTCTGTAAAGTGGAGGTAACGATGGCCCACCTCCTAGGGAAATACTGCACGGCAACACTTACCCAGGCCACCTCCCCAAGGAGTGCAGAGGAGAGGCCTGGCACTGGGGAAGCACTGCATCAAGACAGATAGTGAGGTTCCAGGGAGACAGGTGGTCGGGACACCAGACATATGGTAGCCTTGTGACCCTAGGTAGGTCCTTCTCTCTGGGCCTCAGTCTCCTCGTCACTGCAGTGGATACTCACTGACGTGACCGCCAAGGCCCTCGTGGCCTGGTGGTCCAAGATGGTGCCTTTGGCTCTTTGCGGGTGGGAGGGGCGGGAAGGATGGGCTGATGTCGGGCATTGCTGAATCCTCAAGAGCCTGTAATTAGAGCTGTCTATTTAGGGACACAGCAAATGTCTTATTAATTATAAAGAAAGGAAGCAGACGGATTGTTTAATCATTGTCCTTGCTGAAAGGTTATGCAATTAACTGTATAAATATTCATTAAAAGTTCAAGCGCCTGCCTGCTATGCTGGAGTCTGCAGAAACCAGGCCCCGGAGGTGGTGTCAATGGCCCAGGGCCACTTCAGTCACCTGGGCTTTGGGGCGGAAAGTCTGGGGCTGGATCTGGGTTCCTCCTCTCCCCACAGGAGCATGTGGGGCTTGGCAGAAAAGGTAGAGGAACCTGGACTCTGCCTCTTACCTGCTGGCCAGTACCTTGGTCTCTCTGAGCCTTAGTTTCTTCATCTGTAAAATGGAGTGCTTACCTGCAGGACCACCGCCCTGCTCCACTCCAGGTGCCTTGACAGGATAGTCTTTGTGAATGGCACCCCCGGAATTCATGCTTACAGCCTGCAGGGCTGCTTCCCTGGTAGGGGGTGGTGAGGGCGAATGGCTCAGCATGGAGCAGCTGATACACTGTGGCGGCTCAATAAATACGGCTCCCTTCCAACTCCTCTGTGGGGTTGTTTCCTGAGGCCTGGCTCAGGGGTCAGTGGGTGCCTTGTCCATCCATCCCAGCACTCTCTTGGGGGCTTACAAGCATATGGGATGCCTGTATCATTTTTATGGGAGTGAATTTAAGAGACGAAATGTCCTTTAAAGAGAAAAAGTGTCCTGGATCTTGTAGACTTATAGATTGTTCACCCAGGCATTTGTAAACAGCAGTGCATGGGAATCACTTGGGCTGCGGGGCTGGGGGGTGGGGGGGAGTGGTTGCTAAAATGCAGATTCCTATGCTCTGCCCTCGAAGTCTGGATTCCATCAGTAAGGGCTGGGGCCCAGGAACCTGCACTTCCCAGCGGCCCCTTGCCCCCACCCCTTGGTCAGAGAGCACTCTGGGAAATGCTGGTCTAGTTCCATTCCCTGGTGTTCTGGTGGGCCCTGAGGGAAGTGCTGACCTGAGGTCCTGTGTGTTGGTGGTGGAGGTGCTCTGGAAGGACTTGTCCTCCGACTCCCAGTGGCTTTTTAAAAGGTCGCTGAGTGCCAGCACTTCCCAGGGCTCTGCCCAACAGTTGTTTGTCATGAGAAACATCTGTAAAATGAACCCTGTGAATCCCGTACTCCCAGTGGATTGCGTTATGCTTCGTGACATGTGTTCCTAGGGTAACTTTGAGGTCCACACTCAGGGAGTCCAAGGTGCTTCTCTTCCGGTCATGGCAGTGTCCAGGGGCCTTGGCTCAGACCCCTGCCCCCCTCCCAACTTGTCTATGCCCCGTTCTCCAGCCCTTGTGGCCATTCAGCCCAGCTATGGAAGGAAGAGGAGGGGAAACAGGTCTGAGATCAGGGAGCAAAACTGGGAGTGAGGCAGGAGTGGCCCCCTGCTCTGGGGTGAAATGGACTGTGCGCAGGCTCTGGCATCAGGCAGAGCTGACTTTGAATCCCTACCGGGGATTAGAATCCAGTGCTTACCACTGGATCCAGTACACAAAACCAAAAAACCAAACCCGTTGCCGTCGACTTGGTTCCAACTCATAGCGACCCTATAGGACAGAATAGAACCGCCCCATAGGGTTTCCAAGGAGTGGCTGGTAGATTAGAACTGCCAACCTTTTGGTTAGCAGCCGAGCTCTTAACCGCTGCAACACCAGGGCTCCAGTCTGGTACACAGCAGTGCTCAAAAAATACTGAACAAGTAAACAAGCCTCAGAGCCCTCCTCTGATGGCGTGTGGTTAACAATAACAGGCAACATTCATTGAGCACTGGGCTGGGTGGTGTTCTAAGTGCTTTACGTGCATTGATTTAGTCGTCAATAACGATCCTGTGAGGCAGGTGATTGTATTGTCCCCATCTTGTTGGCAAAAGGCCTGAGGAGCAGAGGTGAGTCATTGGCCAAGTTTGCACAGGCAGTGAGTGTTGGAGCTAGGATTCGAACTCAGGCAGCCATGCCCTCAGCCTCCTTGCTGGGGCCACAACTGGGAAAGGTTAAATGGGAGCATCTAGCACCCTGCCTGGCACTTCTGAGAGACCACTGAAACCGGCCTCCTGCGTGCCCTGGAAGGCAGTGAGGAGCCAGCCATGGAGGTCTGGGATGTGCCTGCCTCATGCAGGTCCAGGAGCTCAGGATGAGCCGCCACCCCCAGCCTTGAACTGGGTTCTCATTCTTTCTTCCAAATTGAGAATCAACCCTGGGGCTCCAGCCCCCTGATTGAGTCAGCTTCTGATTGCGCTGCAGTAATTATAGCTGTGCAGTCCCGCTGGGCCCTGCCAAGCGACGGCTGCTCTCGGCAGCATCACTGAGGGGGGGTGCCTGGTGGGGTTGGAGCTAAGGAGACCATGGGGGCCTTGGTGAGCCCTCCAATCTACAGGTTTAGTTCATGGAGTCATTGATCTGGGAAATGGCAGAGAAGCATGCAGGGCTTGGCAACTCCATGTTGCTAGAGCTCAAAGTGGGGAGGGGGAGACCAGGAGGGGTGGGATGTGGGGCTGGATGTGGCAGGCAACGTCAGCCTGATGGGGAGGGACTTGAGTGCCAGGCACCAGGTGGCCATGAAAGTGTGTTAGGCACGGCATTGATGGGGTCCGATTTAGGATCTGGAGAGTCCTGAGGGCAGACAGAGGAGTCCTGGTGGTGCAGTGGTTAAAGCACTCAGCTGCTAACCCAAAGGTCGGCAGTTTGCATCTACTAGCCACTCTGTGGGAGAAAGATGTAGCAGTCTGCTTCTGTAAAGATTACAGCCTTGGAAACCCTATGGGGCAGTTCCGCTCTATCCTATTATGGTCACTGTGAGTTGTTTTGGTTTAGGGGCAGACGGAGCCCTGGTGGCACAACAGTTAAGCGCTCGGCTGCTATAGGCAATTTGAACCTACCCAGCAGCTCTGCAGGAGAAAGACCTGGCGACTGCAGCCTAGAAAACTCTATGGGGAAGTTCTGCTCTGTCACGTGGGGTCACTATGAGTTGAAATTGACTGGACAACACCTAACAACAACAACGACAGGGGCTCCTTCTCAAATGAAGAAACTGAGACCTGGAAGGGCCCTGATGGACACCCAGGGCCTTGGGCCAGGTGGTTAGAGCCAGGCAGTAGGACGGGTTGATGCCATGCCCTGTGCCCCTCTTGGCTAAGTCATGCGCACGTGTCTGTCTCTGCAGCCAAACAGGTGTGCCCGGCGGAGAAGCTAAGCTGTGGACCCACCAGCCACAGGTGCGTGCCCGCCTCGTGGCGCTGTGACGGGGAGAAGGACTGCGAGAGTGGAGCAGATGAGGCCGGCTGTGCTACGTGTGAGTCCAGGCTCAGGGGCCCAGGCTCCACCACGCATGGCAGGCAGCCCCCGGGAGCGGCAGCCACTTCAGGGGGGCGAGCAGTTCTCCGTGGGGCATGGGAGGTGGAGAGGAAGGATGATGATCAGGACACTAGTAATCGCCAGACACTTTGGAGACATTTTCCTCTTTCATCCTCACAACCACCCCAGGAATAGCCATTATCATCCCCATTTTATGGGTGAGGAAACTGAGGCTCAGACAAGGGAGGAAAAGTGCCCAAGGCTGAGGGGTGGAACTGAGATTCAAATTCAGGTCTGGAGAGCATAGCCCATGAGCATTTTACCATGTCTGACATCTGCCCATCCATTCCATGAGTTTCTACCAACCTCCTAGCAAGACCAGGGAGGGCCTGGAGCCAGAACTGGTGGCGGCCTGAGCCAGGGCCCTGGCAGTGTCGCCAGGGGG